TGCGAGAATGAAACCAGTGTGTTGTCATGAAAAATGTGTTGTAGGTGTGTGATGCCTGCCTCTGCCCATGTACGAAAATGTAATGGTTTCTTGAACTGTAGGAGGTCTAGGTTGTTCCAGATGGGGGTGAAGATGGATGGTGTGGGAGTGGTGTTAGTGATTTTATAAAATTTCCACCAGGCTGTCAGAGCTGATGATATTGTATAGAATGTGAAGCATGGGTGTCGTTTAATTGAGCTGCTGTGAAATGGAAGGTCAGATAATGATATATTTCCACAGATTGTCTGTTCAATGTCGGACCAGGTATTGTCTGCAGGGTGTGGGTGTGTCCATTTATAAATATAATGCATATGAATTGCTGTCGAGTAGTGAGTGAAGTTTGGTGCGCCAAGTCCTCCTTGTGATTTGGGTTTTTGTAATGTTGTGAGCTTTATTCTGGGAGTTTTGTTTTTCCAGTAAAATTTTGATATGATAGAGTTAAGGGATTGGAACCAGGATGATGTTGGGGTGATTGGGATCATGGAGAGAAGATAATTTATTTTGGGGAGAATTGACATTTTGATAGTTGCTATTCGACCAATGAGGGATAGGGGTAGATTCATCCAGCGTTGAAGGTTGTCTGTGATTGATTTGAGGAGTGGAGTGTAGTTTAGATGAAACAGCTCTGACAGCCTGGGGGAGATCCTAATGCCAAGGTAGGTAATATGTTTAGATATGGGAATGGGAGGGGGATGGACCACTGCATCCCAGCTGTCATGTTGTACAGGGAGTATGGTTGATTTGTGAAGGTTGATTGAATAGTCTGAGATATTTGAGAATTGTTGTATAAGTTTGATTGTTTCTGTTAGGGATGTGTATGGGTGTTGCAGGTATAATAATATATCATCGGCATAAAGGCTGATTTTATGGTGTCCAGTGGGTGTCTGAATTCCGGTGATTTTTGGGCTTTGGCGGATTGCTGCTGCTAGTGGTTCAATAAATATTGTGAAAAGTGCTGGAGAGAGTGGACATCCTTGCCTGGTTCCTCTGTGGAGAGTGAATGGTTGTGAGATTATTCCATTTGTTGTTACTGTAGCTGTGGCTGAGGTGTGTAGAATTTGTATCCAGTTTATAAATGACTCCCCAAAGCCAAATGTTTGTAATGTTGATATTAGAAAAGACCAGTTTACTCTGTCAAACGCTTTTTCCGCATCCAGGGAGATTATTGTGGTTGGGGTTTTTTGTGTGTTTGAGTATTGCATTAAGTTGAAAAGTCTGCGAGTGTTATTGGATGAGTGTCTATTTTTGATAAATCCTGTTTGGTCAGGGTGAATGATGGTGGGAATTACCTTTTCAATTCTATGGGATAGTACTTTTGTGATGATTTTCAGGTCTACGTTGATAAGGGAGATGGGACGGTAGTTTGATGGTTGGTTGAGGTCCTTGTTAGGTTTTGGGATAAGTGATATTGTAGCATTATTCATGTGAGTGGGTAGTTGTGATTTTTCTTTTATTTCAGCGATGAGTCTAAGGAATAATGGGGAAAGAATAGTCCAAAATCGTTTATAGAACTCAGCAGGGAAGCCGTCCGGGCCAGGAGTTTTGTTGTTGGGCATTGATTTTATGGCAGTGTGGAGTTCATCTTTGTCAATGGGCGCATCAAGCATACCCATTTGGTCTTGTGAAAGTTTTGGAAGACTAATATTGTTTAGGAAAATGTTTATGTCTGATTGGACAGGTGTGTTCTCTGATGAGTAAAGTGCTGAATAAAATGTTTTAAATATATAGTTTATTTCCTCCGGTGATTGTGTTGGCTTCCCTGCTGAGTCCTCTATACTTACTATGGTTGATTTTTCTTTGTTTTGTTTTATTTGATTGGCTAGGTATTTCCCTGATTTATTATTGTGATGAAAATTTTCTTGCCGGAGTCTCTGAATCATAAATTGAGATTTTTTATTGGTGATGTTATTCAGTTTGTAGTTATAATGTCTTAATTCATCTTGTGTTTTTTCTGAAGGGTTGTTTGCATTATCGGTGTGTAGCTGTTTTATTTTTTGTTCTAATTCATTTTGCTCCTGTTGTTCTTCTTTTTTTTTATATGTTGAAAATGATATGATGATTCCCCTTAGTACTGCCTTACCTGCTTGCCATAAGATTGAGGGAGATGACTTTGGAGAGTCGTTTATTTCCATGAAGGACGTCCACTCTCTCTGAATAAGATTATTGAAGTCTGAGTCTTTAAGGAGTGATGTATTTAGGCGCCATCTAGTGGTTCTTTTTTGGGGAGTCAAATTATTCCAGGTGAACGATATAGGGGCATGGTCACTGATTATGATAGGATGAAGTATGGAGTTTGAAATTTTTGATATTAATGAGTTTGAGACAAGGAAGTAATCGATTCGTGAGTAAGATTTGTGGACTGGGGAGTAGAAGGAGTATTCTCTTGACGTTGGATTTTGGAGCCGCCAGCAATCTCCAAGGCCCAATTCACTCATGAATTGTTTTATTGTTTCAGCCGATTGGGAAGGTTTGCATGAAGAAGCGTTACTGCGGTCAAGTGATGGGTTTATTACTGCATTAAAGTCGCCTCCAACAATGATAGGGCAGTTTGAGTGCAGAGAGAGTGATGTGAAAAAGTCGTGGAAGAATGTTGGACTATCGGTGTTCGGTCCATAAATGTTGCCAATTGTGATGGGGTTGTTATTGACTGATATATTGATTATTATAAAGCGTCCTTCAGGGTCTGCAATGGTGTTATTGTGAGTGTGTGTGAGTTTTTTATTTATAAGGATGGCGACTCCTCTTTGCTTTGAGTTAAGATTAGCTGAGTAAATAGTATTGAATTGGTGAGTGTGTAGTTTGTCATTGGATTCAGTTTTTGAGAGATGGGTTTCCTGTAGGAGGCATATGTCAGGTTGCAATAGTTTGAGGTGGTTGAAAATCTTGTTTTTTTTTTGTTGAGATCCAATTCCTCTAATGTTCCATGTAACAAATTTCAATGGTGCCATTTTTATTTGAGGTGGTGGTCAATCAGTGTATCTGGTTGTGCTTGTGTGTATGTGTGTGTGCGTGTGCGCGTGTGTGTGTATGTGTGAGTGTGTGAGTGGCATGTTGGGGGAGTGGGAAACTTGGGAAACGCATGGGGTTCAACAATATGATCAGTTGTCGCATTCATGAGTCCAGATCGCTAAGTCCAAAAGAAAAGTAGGGTGGTTATACCTCCCCCTGCCGCAAATGCGCTGGTTCCAAAGAGATAGCAAACAGAAAGAACAAAACAAAACAAAAAAAAGGAAATAAAATAAGTGAAATATATATATACCGGCAAAGATCAATATGATTATAATTGTAGTGCAGTCATTAATTTGTTGTAATAAAACAAAGAAAGAGATTTAATTGAAAATAATAATAATAATAATAATAATAAAAACGGAAGAAAAATAAAAATAAAATCAAAAACTTAATAGATCGTATAACAGTCTTTCACGAGTGTCGCTCGGATGTCGTCATCTTTGTGTGACGGTGTTGTGCTTGCTACTCACGTGCGGCCGCTTCGTTGCTCCCGGTGAGCCAGTAAGTTATTTTTGAGTTTCTGTAGAGTGTTCCGTCAATGTAAAGTTTGTCTATGGATAGTCTGGATCTTTTTCCTGCGGTTCTCGCCTCCGCCAAGATGGGCTGGAGCAGCCTGCGTCGTCGCATAATCTCCTGCGGGAATTGGTCGCTGATGGCCAGCTTGGTCCCCTTCAGCTCCCTGCCTTTCCCCATGATGACCGCTTTGTGCCTCGGATCCAGAAGTTTGGCCACGATAGGCCGGCTTCGGGATGCTCCCTCGCGTTGTTGCCCCAGGCGGTGAGCGCGCGCGAGATGGATCCCCTGCGCTGTGTTCTCATCCATTTTGAGGTTAGTTACGAAGAAGGTTTTGACTAATTGTTCAGTTGTTTGATATGATTCCTTAGGTTTTTCTTCAAGTCCATGTATTATAAAATTGTCACGCATGCCCCAATGCTTTTTGAGAAGATAAATTGGATTTCCTGCCTTCAAAGACGATTTAAATTTAGTTTCTTTTTTTTTTAGGAAAAATTTGTTTTACCTTGTCCATGTGGATGTCCAGAAACTCTAGTTCTGCCGTCAACTTCAATCAGGAGACTGGCCATGCCTCAAAGATGGAGTCCTCAAAGCAGTTCTGAATGAAGAAGGTCTCACCGCTGCTCCAACTCCATGTTTGAGGCATCCTCAGCTCCGCAGAAAAGCATGTTGGCATCCGGCGCAAGAAGGACCAAAATATGTGAAAAAACTACTCAGTGTTCTGGACATCACACACATAGACATGTTACAGACTACACCAGTCTGGGTTTCTGCTGGATGGAAAGCAGCAGAGTGACAAAGAATGAACCAAAAGCTCTGTCCTTATACCCTGATAATTTGAAACACATGTCCCAACATCCTTAGGTGAAGACAATACCTTCTCTGTTTCAGGACAAACAAATAGCCCCTGTGTGAATAAGCCTGAGGCTACTCTAAACAGATGTTTTCTGCGCTCTTCTTAATTTAACTTCCTGTGCTTAATGGCTGGGGGGGATGGGAGAATGCTGCTGATGCGTCCATCACATCCCACCACACAGTAGCTATCTAAACCTTGAATATATTCTAATTCACTTTAATGAAAATCCAACAACTCTACTAACACTAGTAAAATAATCTTATGACAAATTATATTCAAGCAAAAATATAAAATAAAATCCATTTAAAAAATAAGCATAATTTATGTTATTTATAGCAAATTAAAAAAAAATCAGTATGATGTGTAGAAGACGTGTTTTTATAGTGTTCATGTTCAGGGGGGACTTGAGCAGTTGGAGTTATTTTGAGTGTTTCCCTTGAACACGTTAAACAAGTTCTCACCTGTACCTCCGTCTCACCTGTCCGACACGTCTGGGTGGAGCTCTATATATACCCCCTGTTCCTCTGCTGCACCTCACTTCTCCCTCTCGTCCTCTCCCACTCTCGCACTCTCTCCCACCGACATGTCTGCTCCCAAAGGTCCGTCGCTCTTTCAGTGTATTATTGGACTGAAGGACATTTTTCAAGCTCACGCCGGCGCAGACAAGAAGCTCAACAAAACCGAGCTGAAGGAGATGCTCAAAGGGGAGCTGTCTCAGGTCTGTACCTACAAATGTTTGCTTTCCTTGCTCAGGGATTTGGTCTCTCTCTCTGGTCTCTCTCTCTGGCCTCTCTCTGCTCTCTTCCTCTGTTCTCTCTGTTCCCTCTCCCTCTGTTCTCCATGGTCTCTCTCTGGTCTCTCTCCGCTCTTTCCCACTGTTGTCTCTCTGGTTCTCTCTGGTCTCTCTCAAGTCTCTCTCTGCCCTCTCCCTGGTCTCTCTCTCTCTCTGGTCCCTCTCTGCTCTCTCTCTGTTCTCCCATAGTCTCTCTCTCTCTCTCTAACCTCTTCTTTTAGTCTTATTTCGAGAACCCAATAATGTGATAATATCTTGTTTTGCGCAGACAGGAGACGACGCGATGGTGAGTCAGATGATGCAGACGCTGGACGTGGACAGAGACGGTCTGCTCGACTTCAGCGAATTCCTGCTGTTTGTGGTGGGGATGGCCTGCGCCTTCAACGGCCAGACTTTCCAGAGATAAGGACGACCTATGACCCCTGCAGGCCTCTGTACCGACGCATCCAGCTCCTGTGATGTCCACCAATAAAAGAATTCAATGTATTTTCCATTTTTTCTTCACTGAATAAAACGGTGTTGCAGTCATAGCGACAGTCCTGATGTGGAATGTGGGCGTGGTCAGAGTTGTTATTATAAGAATAACAATAATACTACACCGGTTTTATATGGCGCTTTCCAAAAACTCAAAGACGCTTCACAGTTCAGGACACACACATTCAGACAGACACACAAAACTAAAAATCTAAAAGCAGGAATGAAGAGTGCAAAGCTGAAACTAAGAGTCATTTGTTTGGAGGAAGAGGTTAGTTTTTAGCAGTTTTTTGAGTGAGTTTGAGTTTCTGAAATGAGGAGGGAGAGAGTTCCAAACCGTGAGAAAGTGCTCGGTCCCCCAAGGTGTGGTGCTTGGATTTGACAGTACACAGCAAAAAGTCAAATCTTGAAATAAGAAAAAAACACTAGTTTTTTGTATAAAAAGAAAAAAAATCTTGTCTAACAACATTTCCTTAAGAATAAAATTCTTATTTTAAGAAATTAATTTTAGCTTTTTTTATTAAGAAAAATGTGCTTAAAAAAGTTATATTTGGACCCAAAACAAGCAACAATGACTTATTTAGGCTCCCCTTTCTTGAATCAAGAAAAAATAAGAAAACAAGAAATCTTAAAATAAGAAAAGAGATCTATTCAATTGAATTCAATGTAGTTTCACTTCAATGTATTTGTGTATCGTCCAGACCCACATATAAGGAGCAGGACGACCACTGTCCAGAAATGTGTTTATAAATGTCCTTAAATGTCCCAGATCATCACTGTCCTTAGACCCTCCTGCATCAGAGGAACCACAGAAACCCACCTGACACTGACACAGTACAACATTATTGGCCTTGTGCACGTGATGCACGTCTCCAAGATCATATTTAATGGGCACATGTGTTACATATTTGTGTACAAAACTGTGATATGGAGTACAGTCCACAATAGCATCTCATATTTTTTATCCTTATTTTTATTATCTCTTTTTGACTGTTGCACTGAGCCAAAGCAATTTCCTAGTCTGTGACCTCCTGTTACTTACGTGGCAATAAAAATGATTCTGATTCTGATTCATATTGTTTTGGTATTGAGCTCACTGTGAGCTCCTCACCCCCTCCCTCCTGTTCCTGCTGCTTTGGGCGTGGCTGTGGGCGTGGCTGTTCCTGCTGCTGTGGGCGTGGCGGTGGGCGTGGCTGTTCCTGCTGCTGTGGGCGTGGCTGTGGGCGTGGCTGTTCCTGCTGCTGTGGGCGTGGCTGTGGGCGTGGCTGTTCCTGCTGCTGTGGGCGTGGCTGTTCCTGCTGCTGTGGGCGTGGCTGTTCCTGCTGCTGTGGGCGTGGCTGTTCCTGCTCCCTGTTCCTGCCATGCACACCTGCCCCTCACCTGTAATCCTCTCTGTACATTAAAGGTCCTATATCACGCTTTTCTTCATGTTTCACACTCAATCCTATGCACATGTGTGATATTAATGTGTATGATACACCACACAACAACCAAAGTTTGTGAGATTAGAGCCATCTCTTGTATGTGACGTCACCTCGACTCAAACGAGCTGATCCAGAGAAGAGTCTGCTCCTCTGCCTGTGAGCCCGCCTCCCCCCGCCCGCACGGTGACGTAGCATCACGCTTTTGTCGTTTATCACCTGTACTTAGTAATTTCATACATAAGAATAAACTTTTTCCAACAATGAAAATCCGTCACATCGAGCCCTATGTCCTCGATGCACAATCAGACCCTAGTTATTTAGTTTACAGAAGTATACAGCGAGTTAGCGTCACTACTTACAGATCGAGGGGGTCCGAGTTACGTCTTTTACCTTGGGAATAACGTGTTTCCAGATCAGCTTTTGAGTAAGTCCAGTTCCATTGTCCCTGTAGTTCTGGAACAGTCTCAGTGAAGTGTCGCAGATTACCCCGGTATTATAATAGATCCATGAGATGAACAGATGAAAAAAGTCGAGCCGCTTTCTTCCTCTTAGGGCCAAATAGTGTGTCACATATTTACACCCATAACACACTTCATTCAAGTTGACGTGATCCTAACACTTTTAGTTGCTGACAAAAGCATAAAAACAGCAGCTCTATGTGGTGTCCGCGAGACCAGACCACAGACGCTGGACTCGGGAGCCGGAGCCTGTGCGCTCTGATTCGCTGTTTTGATCCGTCAATCACCTCCCGCCGGCTTTTAATTTATTTTTATTTTTATTATTTTTGACAAAAAACAGCATACTAATTGTGTATTGTTTACCCCGTTTTGACAAAAGTATTTAACAACTATTTTAAATACAAAGCAAACGGGGTCATGCGCGTCATCAGTGTGGTTTTCGTCACTGAAGTGGACCCGAGCGTTTCTGTGCCTCACGCTGGGGAAGGAGACAGATTGCTCTCTTACAAAAGATTGACAGAATCAATGAATAAACTACTGTGGGCTTGTGTATGAAGGCCAAATAGCATTGTAATCATGTTTAAAGCAGAGAAAAGTCAAAAACCGTGAAATGGGCCCTTTAAGCCTGGGCATTTCCTCAGTCCTCTGTCAGGTCCTCAGTCTACATCGTGAGACACCTCAGGCCTTTTGATATTTTTGCTAAATTGGTGAAGCCCTCGTCTAATCTCATGTTTTGTGCTGATCTCAGAAACTTGTGCCAGTTGCAGCCACTTCACTCCTACTCCTGCTCCTGCTCCTGCATCTACTCCTACTCCTACTCCTGTTCCGGCCCTACCAGCCCAACCTTCATTCCTGTTAATAAACCTTGTTAACCTGTCCTTCGCATTTGTGTTCACTTCTTTGATCAAAACATATGTATTCTTATATTATTTTGCTTATTAAGCCAATTTTGCCTAAAACCAGTCTACAAATAGAAAAAGGCTGCAAAAACGAGCATAAAACAAGCAAATCTATCCATAATAAAACATTTATTTAAAATTTTTTTCCTAAAATTATCCAATAATAAGAATATTTTGCTTACATCTGACCTTTTTATTAGAAGAATATTGCTTAAATCAAGGAATATATTCTCGTTTTTGGGAAAAAAAATCTTAAAACAAGAATTCAAGACAAGGAAAAAAGTCTTACCCCATTGGCAGATTTTTTTGCTTAATATAAGCAGAATTGTCGTCTTTTGAGGTTTTTTTGTCTTGTTTCTTGCAAGGGACTTTTTGCAGTGTAGGAACGAGGAGATGTGAGTCTGCAGATGGGAGTCGACGGGACGGACTGTAGGGCTGTAGAAGTTCAGTGAGGTAAAGAGACAAGACATCTGCAAAAACAAATATGTCGCAAAAACATGTTCTCCTCTGAGTGTTTTATTATAGATTATGCTGATCCCAAACTGCAAAAAGTGATGAAAAGTAAGTAAAACATCTCACAAATTCTGCAAAAAACTGCATTAGTTTGAGCAAATTCTGCCTTAAAACAAGATTTGCCAAAGGGACGATGAGCAAAATCGTGTTGTTTAAAAAAAGATACGTCTTTGGAATGAGAAAACGTATCTTATAAAGAAGTGGGCCCCTGCAGGCCTCCGTGCCGACGCATCCAGCTGATATTATGTCTACCAATAAAAGAATTCAATGTATTTTCCACTATTTCTTCACTGAGTCAAACTGTGTTGTTGTCATAATGACAGTCCTGATGAATGTGGGCGTGGCCAGAGTCATTATGAAAAGACAAGACATCTGCATAAACAAATCTCTCTCTCTGATGTCTGAACATGTGTCAGAAACATGTTCTCCTTCAGCGTGTTTTGTTATCGGCTACAAATCAAACGAAACAAATCAAACATAAGTTAACAAAATACTCTCGACATTATCAAGTTCTAGGTCTAAGGACATACATGCTATACTTTACTCACAAAAACACACAAAGATACCCTCACTGCTCCAATAACAAGACCGATAAATCAATCTATAACTGAAAACACATTCCCTGTCACACTTAAAACAGCCACTATCATTCCAATCCACAAAGGAGGAAATAAAAAAGACGCCAACAACTACAGACCAATTAGTGTTCTTCCCGTTATATCAAAAGCAATAGAAAAGGTAGTAGTTGAACGGCTCACACAACATCTGGAGGATGAAGGCCTATTACATCCCATGCAGTTTGGTTTTCGAGCAAAGCACTCGACCGAAACAGCATGCATAGCATAGAAACAATAAAACAAAAGCTTGATAATGGAGGAGTAGAAGTAGCAATATTCTTAGAGCTTCGCAAAGCATTTGACACCGTTAGTCACCCCACATTACTTACAAAATTAACAAAATTTAAACTGTCTGTAAATACTCTGGCTTGGATAAAGTCCTACCTATCTGGCCGGAGTCAATGTGTGCGTATCAGTAATGCCTAGCGTACATCGGACTGGCAACTGACTATATCAATCGCCTTTGAGTTGCTGCCCCTCACACATCGACAATGTGGCGAAAACGGCCAACTCCCTGCAGCAGGCCAGTCTCGGGAATAACAGCGCGTACATCGACAGCAACTGGCCTCAACTACGGTGTGTTTTCTGACATAAACTGTAGAGGGCGCGCAATACACACATGTTGTCGGAGCGCGCACATCGGGTAATATCTCCGGATCTGAGTACAACTAGTTGCCGAAAAGTAGAACACGGGCAACTGACTGAATCCGGAGATTGACTGTTTATCTCCAGTTGTAAGAGCGCTCACATCGACCGATTTTGGCAACTGATCATCTCCATCATCTACTCTCAGTTGCCAAAAGCCGCCTTGCGACTAGTTGTCCCCAGTTACTCTGTCGATGTACGCTAGGCTTAACACCACATCCAACATCATTGCTACTGATATTGGCTCCAACATCGGCCCTCTGCTCTTCTCACTGTACATAAATGACTGGCCATCTGTGTGTGACGATGTCAAAATACAGATGTATTCAGATGATACGGTCATCTATACATGGGGAAGGGACGCTCAAACAGTAGCCAATAAACTGACTGTAGCAGTGGAGAAGGTTGCAACATGGTTACATGAATCCTGTCTCACATTAAACATCTGTAAACCAGCAACAATGTACTTTGTAATAAAAACAAAACAATCTTGTTTCCAAACATAACCGTAAAAGGGGAGGTGGTAAAACATTTGAATGAATATCGTTACCTGGGTGTAATTTTAGATCCCACCCTCAGCTTTAAAAAACATATCAAACAGATGAACCTTAGCCTCAAATACATAAATATATTTTAATGCAATGATCATGTCTCATTTTTATTATTGTATAACGTGTTGGTCTCAGGCAAATAAACCACTCTGAGGTCATTGGAAGATCACTTAAGATCCTCAACCCGAAACCACGACATCACCATCACTGTTTAGTTCTCCACAAATACACACAGTTACATTTTGACAATGTTCAAAGATTTGCATCCATACGATTGGCTCACAGAATACTAAACAACACCGCACCAGCTCCACTCAAACACTTTGTTCAGTTCACATCTGCTGCGACAAGTAGAACCACACGAGCCTCCACCAGGGGGCAGTGCAGCACACCCAGGTCTAAAACTGCTTTTGCACTATCAGCATTTTCATATAAAGCAATAAAGGAATGGAACGAGCTCACTACAAAACTGAGGAGTCAAACATTCAAAAAAGTGGTTATGGAGCAATCAAAGCTGCTCACACAAACCCTGAGGTGTGACCCACGACAACTGATGTATGTGAATGTGAACTATGTACGTATGTTGACATCTGAATTTGTGGTTGTGACATGTGACTGAGTAGATGTGTGGTTTTAACAAACAGGTATAAGGCTAAATGTGTGTGTGTGTGAATCAGAGAGAGAGTGTGTGTGTGTGTGTGTGTGAATCAGAGAGAGAGTGTGTGTGTGTGTGTGTGTGTGAATCAGAGTGAGTTGTATTGCGATGTTATTTCTTTTGGATTGTACTGTACATTACTGTATCCATGTATTTCATTTATGTAACCAGGGACTGCAGATGGAAACTAGCTGTTTAGCTATAATCTGGTGCCTGTATTGCATGTGTATGTACTGTATGTGCATATACTGTATGTGTATATACTGCATGTACTGTACTGTATGTGTATATACTGTATGTGTATATACTGCATGTACTGTATATGTATATACTGTATGTGTATGGCGACAGTTGGTAGAGCATTGGCCTTAAGGCCAGAAGGTCGTGGGTTCAATTCCCACCTTTCTCCACCGACTCCCACTGGTGACTGCTGTCGTTGTGTCCTTAGGCAAGACACCAACTTTGCCCAAAGCCCCCACTGAAAGATCAAGGCTATGCTCACACTCAGAGAGCAGCCGTCCTCCTGTGGACTCACCACCTGCAGAGGGTCAGTGAGGGGCTGGTGCTATGAGACTTGGGTGGCATCTCTGATTGCCACCCCCCTGACCCAGAAATGGATTAAAGGGTAGAAAATGGATGTATGTGTATATACTGTATTTGCTGTAAGTGCTAACTCCAATAATAAACCATTTCAAAGCTTTATTAATCATGTAAACTACGGCTGCACCGTCTCTGCTGCTGTGACCTGCATTTTACTACTGTCATTAGATATTTAGAATTATGTACACTGAAAATGATCAAATATGAGATCATAATTGCTTTAATTTACTGTTTTTTAGGTTGCAGTCACATGCGCACCCTAAAGCCCGGTTAAAGTGTGCCTGGGCCCACTTCGCGATTAGATCTGGGCTTTAGGTGCTATGTGACCGCGGCAACTGGGCATTGGCACGGTTGGGAGAGGTGGGCCAGAGCACCCTTCCAAAGTCCAGATGAGGGGGGTCAGTGTGGCGGGTGGTGGGGAGTGGGGGATGAGGTGTGGTGGGGACTTGATATTGTGCGTCACCTTACGTCTTCCGTTGTGACGCGCATTTTCACACACGTCTCTGCACTTTTGTATTCTCTGCTTGTGTTAAACCTTTCATATAAGCCTCGGGCCGTGGTCGGGGGACTCTGGGGGCCGTGGTCAAGAGGCGCAGGGGGGTGTGTCGCTCCCTCTGTTCTGACCCTCACTCTCAGTGTGGTGCTTTTGCAATAACACTTCAGACATTCAAGAATCAGTCTTTATTTAATCGCCTGAACACACACACACACACTCGTATCCTGCCTGGCTCGGGTTGCTCTGCTCGTCCACACTTTTCATTCTTTCATTCTCAATGTGCTCAACTCATTCATCTCTCAGCGCTTTAAGCTCGTAACTTAACAGGCACACTCCTGTGTCCGCAGTGCGCACACACGCACACACTCACAGACACACACATGCACGTTACCCACTGAGCTGCTGCACTTTGGAGAAATACACCTTGCTCTGATGCAAACAATAAATAAACAATCAATGCTCGAGCTGTTAGCTACAGTAGCAGAATGTAAACAGGAAAAGAAACGGAAACTTAACTCTTGACAACGAGGTTGTTGCTGAGGTTAGTATTAGCGACACCAGCTGGTGCCGAGTGTTGTACTACACACAGATAGAACAAGCCCTTGTGACCGTGGGCCGTTTTCACACCCTGTGGCAACGATCCGGGCCACTTGGCCTAGTTTGTTTGTAAAAACCTCTGTGGCCGTGCTGTTATCTTCATTTGATAAAAATATCTGTCAAAAAAAGATTCTCCAGTGGGACAAAGCCATTAAGTCTTGTTTCAAGAACTGTTGTATCTTTTCAAAACCAGATCATTTTGCTTGGTCCCGTTGGCAGATATTGTTTTAATGCAGTCAGAATGTGCACAAATTAAGATACATTTTCCCAAGTTCAATCCATTTTAGACTAATTTTTCATCCCTTTTTGCTGTGTATTTAATTTTTTTGTTTGTACGGATGTCTTTCTGCTCCTACTGGACCTGCATTTCTCCAACGGGAATCCATAAAGTATCTATCTATTAAAGCTACAGTATGTTCCCACCTTCACATTGATGAACCAGTCTCTTTGGAACGTTGGGTTGCCACACAAACACAACCTCTTTTCAATCTCTACAAACCAGTTCTGTTCCTTTTGCTCTTACCGTGACTCACCTGGTAAACAGTCCCAAACCCACACCTGCCTCAGATCGGGTTCAATGCATGATTATTCAACCATGAGCGGTCGGAACGCCTCTTTACAGCTATATCTGCCTCAACACTCACTTCAGTCCAGTCTCACCCTGGTCCTCTCAGCTCTCTCCTGATCCTCTCCTCTCTCATCTGCAGATATGTCCGGGTGTTGCGTTAAGAAAAGCATCCCAGAATGCCTTGAGGAGCTGAAGAACATATTCTCGGAGCATGCCGGGCGAGAGGGAGATCCACAAAAACTAAACAAGAACGAACTGAAGACGCTGCTGGAGGCTCACATGTTCGGGAAGTGCAAGGTACGTGACATACACTGCAAAAAGTGAGAAAATAAGTCAAAAAATTGCTGAAATTTGGTCAAATGTGTCTTAATTTGAGCACATTTTGAGTGATTTTAAACAGGATTTGCCAACGGGACAATGAGCAAAATCATCTTGTTTTAAAAAGATCCAAGAAATGTCTAGAGATAAAGACTTTGTCCCGTTGGTGATTCTAGTTTTAAAAGAATGAACTCAGATTGAGACGAAAACCTCTCAATTCAAGCAATTATTCCATCATATTTGATCATGGTTTACAGTGTATGTCTATGTTTATGTTTGTTTACTTCAACATGTCCCTAACCTGAAAAACTCTTATTTTGGTGTATTTAAAGTACGGAGAGATTAAGCCCAAAAAAAGACAGATTTAGAAAGTGAAGTGATGGGAAGTACTATTTGAAACCAGCCCAGAGGTTTTGTGTTATGTCCTTTGTCTGAAATAATTTAAAGCAGAATTGAGCAGATTTGTTAAATTTGGGACTTGGTGAAAATAGAATAAGATTAACTTCCTTTAGGGCATAATTTCTCATTTGTCTTGTTCTGATTGGCTGAGAGAGAGAAGGGAGAAACGTTTCTATCTGGTCTCTCTCTGGTCTTACGATGGTCTCTCTCTTTGGTCTTACTCGGGTCTCTCTCTGGTCTCTCTCTCCAGCCTCTCTCTGGTCTCACTCCAGTCTCTCTCTGATTTCTCTCTAGTGTCTCACTCTAGTCTCTCTCTTTAGTCTTATTTAAAGAACTATCTGCCTTTGGCTTAATCACAACAAAACTCTGAGATTTTCCCAGAACAAACTAAACCTGTTTTTTTTCATCGTGAGAGTAATAATAAAGTGTGGCTCGACCGGACTCACGCTGTTGTTTTGTTTGTGCAGGAAGCAACTGAGGAGGAGGCCAAGAAGATGTTTGATGGTTGGTTCAACACCATGGACGAGAACCAGGACGGAGAGGTGGACTTTTACGAGTACATGGTGTTCCTGGCGGCGTTCTCCTGCTTCTGCTTCGGAATCGACTGCGAGACCAAGAAGTGAGCGAAGGAAAGCTCTTGAGCCAATGTTTTATGATGTCACCGAAATGTATTATGTCACCGAAATGTATGATGTCACTGAAATGTCTCTGGTCTCTCTCTGATCTCTCTCTGGTGTCTTTCTGGTCCTTCTCTGGTCTCTCTTTGGTCTCTCTGGTCTCTCTCTGGTCTCTCTCTAGTTTCTCTCTGGTCTCTCTGTTGTGCTAAATCAAGCATATTTATGTTGACGCTGCAGACACATTGATGTACTGTGCTAAATTCAAATAAAGAAAAATACATTATTATGAAACATTATATGAAACATTTTTATTTGTAATTTTTTTAATATCTCAGTCTGTCTTTAGTTGTTCCAATCCGTCACATCCCGGTGCTCAGTGGGTTGTTTTCGGCCTTTAAACCGAGCGGTATCACACACAAAGACGCCAGAAGCACGTCCCAGTCTCACGGCGGCCATGACACTCACCAAGCACCAAGTCCGTCTGCTCCAAGATGAGATTCTGTGCCATTAGATCATAACAAATGCTCCCCATTTAAACTGTGGCTTTAAATTATGAGCAAAAGTCGCTTCTCTGATTGACAAAAACACATTGCTAGTTCTTTCATCAAGGTCATTATCTGCTCACTAGGCTCTGTGCCTCTGAACATAGCATATAATTGGAATTATGCCCAATGCTCCAAGTGAAAAACCTTAAACATGTGTTGTGTCTGATGCCACCCTGATGCTAAAGCCGCCCTCGATGGTGGAAGAGGTTATGCCATCGCCCACGTTTGTCAGTTCGTTTCATAACTTAACCTTATTGGACGATATTGACAACATTCTCCGATAATCTCCACAATCTGTTTTCCTTGTGGATGTAATCTGGATCTCTGGCTGGATGCTTTTGTAGAAATATTTAGCTGTTGTTGTTATTATAGTTAGTGTTATATTATTATTATTACTTATATTATTTTCATCGTTTATTATGTACATGCACGTACATACATAATCTTTACTTATCTTTCCTTCATATTTTGTTATTTTGAGTTTATTTTAATTTCTATCTCACAGAAGGGAGAAACATGGGCATCTTTCATAGCACATTTTCATTTATAATTACCAACAAAGCCACTCACATCACAACAGGACATTTTAATTTTATTTTTTACTTTTTTTATTTTGTTTTTATTTTTATTTTTTTCTCTTTTTCTTTCTTCTCACTTCCTTATTTTCTATAAACCTTTCCTCGCTGTCATCCCCACCAACACCGGTCATCAACTCATTTCACCACATCCAGCCACCGTCATCCTTTGTGTTTTTAATGCACCACACTCTAAATAAATAGAAACTTAAAAAGGGAAAATAAATAAACATATACACACATGGCACAAGGGATTCAGGACACATGAGGAGAACTTGACGCAGTACCGCTGCTCCAACACTCCCATCATGTGCTTTTGAATGCATCTCAGACACTCACACACACACAATCATAGACAGCAGATAACAGGCAAAGAAGGCAGAGGCTGGAATATTTCTTAACTCATAAAACATAAATTAAAATCGGATTAAATAAGGCTGGTGTTGATGATGGCGGCAGTAGCTCAGTTGGTAGAGCATTGGCCTTATGGCCAGAAGGTTGTGGGTTCAATTCCCACTTCTCCACCGACTCCCACTGATGACTGCTGTCGTTGTGTCCTTGGGCAAGACACTTAACCCCACTTTGCCCAAAGCCCCCACTGAAAGATCAAGGCTATGCTCAAACTCAGAGCAGCCGTCCTCCTGTGGACTCACCACCTGCAGAGGGTCAGTGAGGGGCTGGTGCTATGAGACTTGGGTGGCATCTCTGATTGCCACCCCCCTGACCCAGAAATGGATTAAAGGGTAGAAAATGGATGGATGGATGGGTGTTGATGATCTTGACGATTGAATTTTATTCATTTATTTTTTTCTCTAACGCACACACACACACGCACGCACACACACATGCTGTCTTAATATTTGTATGTCTTTGTATGTCCACATGTTTTGTCGCTGCTTCAATGTTTTTCTGTTGTTGTACCAATCACTTTGGTATGTCTTTGTACCACTTTTGTGTGTCTTTGTATCACCTTTGTATGTCTTTGTATCACCTTTGTATGTCTATGTGTCACTTTTGTATGTCTATGTGTCACTTTTGTATGTCTTTGTGTCACTTGTGTATGTCCTTGTATCACCTAATAAAAATAAATAAATAAATAAATGTTTAGCTGGTGGGACCCTTCTTTCTCTTACCAGCTTTTTCTCTTCCTTTACCTCCTTATTCTCTTCCTTTACTTCCTTATTCTCTTTCTTTACCTCCTTTTTCTCTTGTGTGCATTGCATTATACAACTACATGGGAGAAGAAGTCACGGTTATAGGACCGTTACCGTGTTTAAAGAGCGACTAAAGACCAAATCCACTTTTTTTTAACTCATAAACTGCATAAATATGTTAATTGTAGTGCTCTCTACATATCCTGGTCATTTTTTGACATTTTTGTTCAAATTAGATAAAATCTCACTTTTGAGCCAAAAAACGTCTGTGTGGCGCCCTCTCTACCTTTTTGGTAGTACTACACTTGAATTTGGTTCTGGCCTCTGCATTGACTCTGAAATTCTCTATGACGTCAGTTGGTTTGTGTGACGTCAGTCTGTCAGAGCCAGTGATATAAACCCATCCAACTCTCACACACGCCCCAGCTGCAGGCTGGAGTATTCTGGTGACATCTAGTGGATTAAAATTAAATTGCATGAGTGATTTTGAGATCATTGGGTGTGATTAGGTTCAGGTGTGTAGCTTTACAATAATCTTAGTGTGTAAACAAGGGTGGAATGAGACTTTCTGGTCTGTAAACTATTGCTTTAAGCAGCAATGACAACTGTCTGTTTTTTTTGTGTGACAAGTGAGCTGTCAATCACAGCCCAGACCACGCCCAACTCTAAGCCCCCCTTCTTGTCCCTTGGTCCTCCAGGCAACGCCCTTTTTAGAGAAAATTTTCAAATGTTCATGTGGGTGGAGTAAGGCTGGGCACAGGTGTTTAGTCGCTCTTTAAGAAAAGCCTTTGAAAATGTCTCCAATGCGTTTAAGCCACAATGGTTTCTTCTTGTTCGAACAGTCTCTGTGTTTGTCTGGACTGTTGACGGTGTACACTTTGTTCATGGAGGTTGTGGATGCCTTCTTTGGGGCAACATCTACATCGCTCTCAGATATGTCGCTCCAGCTCGAGAGAGTTGTCACAGATTCCTTAGACTTCTTGGATCTGCTGTTTAAATCTGAGGTACTAGATTTTGGTAGAAGATGCAGCTTTATGTTACTGAGGCCTTCCAAACGATTTATTTAGGGTTTATTGCGCTGGAAAACGACAGCAAGTCTTAAGTGTCTCTGAAACAGTTGTTTTTTCTGCCTGAGATGTTGCTGCAATACAGTGTTCATGGTTTTACACCGGTCCAGACCAGAGCAGAGAGGATTCATGGTTTTACACTGGTCCAGACCAGAGCAGAGAGGATTCATGGTTTTACACTGGTCCAGACTAGAGCAGAGAGGATTCATGGTTTTACACTGGTCCAGACTAGAGCAGAGAGGATTCATGGTCCGAACCAAGCGGATCAGGAGAAAATTCATCGGAGGAATGCTGACTTTTTGAAAAATGCTAATAAAACATTTAGCATTTTACTTTGGGCCAGAGCAGAGAAAATGGTCTGAACCACCTCTGCTGCTGTGACCTGAAGGACTGTTGTTATTACTATTGTTAGTTTTTTAGAATGACTGGACACCATAATTTCTCCTACAGGGGATCAATAAAGTAAATATATCTATCTATTTGTTTGTGCAACCAGGTATAGTGGATAAAATTCAATATTATAGAACAGTACTAAATGTCTAATAATAAAACAAACCTTCCCAAACTTGACACACCACCAGCAGAAACTGATACAAAAGTAAAATCAGAATCAAACAAGAGCAAAAAAGTCCTTCATTTTTTAAATTTTGAATTAGGTGATATTTGTCATTTCCCAAAAGCAATAACAAACGGACTGTGGACCCAAAGGTTGAAAAACACTGCTCTGAACAGTACCTGTGCTGAGTCGTTCCTTGCACCTGATGAGTTTATAGACCAGGAGCTAACGTGGATCTGAATAAGAACAGACTCTGACAGACCTGGCCCTCCCTCCTGATCCTCCTGACCCTCACAAACCTGCAGCTCTCACTTTGCCTTCTACTCAAATCAGCTCGACTTGCTCAGATTTGCAAAAAAAGATCCCTTTGAGCGACAAGTGACGAGACGGAAACTTTGGTGAGAATCTAGTGATGTGTAATGGAGAGAGAGAGAGAGACCAGAGGGAGACCAGAGGGAGAGAGAGACCAGAGAGAGAGAGAGAGAGAGACCAGAGAGAGAGAGAGAGAGAGACCAGAGAGAGAGAGAGAGAGAGAGAGAGAGAGAGAGACCAGAGAGAGAGACTTAAATCCTATTGATCTGTAACCTGCAATACAACGACAGATATTAAGGGACTGGCCTCCTGCTGGGACTCTGAGGAGTACAGGGACTGGCCTCCTGCTGGTCCCAGAGTCAGGAATAAACATGTGGAGGCAGTATTTCAGATTCACGCCCCTCGAATCCAGAACAGTCTTCCCTAAAGGTGAAGTAACAGGCTGAAAACTGATCTACTCCTCTGTGTGTCTGACTAACTTCCAATACTGAGGGTTTAATCTGATATACTTATTTTTATTGCATGATTTTTTTAACTCCTATACTTTCTAATGTTTGTAAAACAATAAATAAAGTGACAAACTTGAAAGGCATTGTCCTAATGACAACATGTTTTACTGTTTGTTTATTTGCACATTTTTCCACTTTGGGCCAATATTCAGATAGAGCGGATGCCAAGTACTCACATGTCGTCACGTGTGTCAGAGAGGCTTTAGATAAACTTGTGACCATCTCTTTAATCCTGCAGAGGTCAGCGGCAGGAGAAGGACGTCCCACTGACCCACTCCAGGCTGTGGCACTGACTGAGCACGTGTGTGGCGCCCTCTGCTGGACACTGCAGGTACGCATGGGAACTCTTCAAAAGAGAGGATTTAGAAACTTTGGAATTTAACATAACATATTCCTATAGATTTTACCTATTGTGCATGTTTTTAGTGGTAGTGGAAACCGGAGCACCAAGAGGAAACCTACGCAGACATGGGGAGAACATGCAAACTCCCCTTAGAAAGGCTCTGTTGAGAGGCGAGAGTGCTCAGAAGGTTGTCCCCGTTTCCTCTGTGTCTCTAATCAGCTTAGGTCAGCACAGCAGCAACTCTCCCACTCCCACTCTCGCTGTACGTATGCAGTCTACAGGCCTTATGGGATTAGAGGCACGCAGGGATCTGAGAGAGGCACACAGGGATCTCACTTGCCCTGTTGATTGTCTGCCCCACTCTGTGTTTCACCTGTGTCTATATGTCCCTGTGTCTGTCAATATGTACTTGTGCCTCTTTCTATATGTACCTGTGTCTGTCTATCTGTACCTGTGTCTCTCTTTGTCTATCTGTACCTGTGTCTCTGTGTGTCTATATGTACCTGTGTCTCTCTGTGTCTATATGTACCTGTGTCTCTCTGTGTCTATATGTACCTGTGTCTCTGTGTCCACATGTACCTGTGCTCCCCTCCCCTTGATGCACTTGCTTCTTTTTTATGCTATATTCAGAGTTTTATTGTATTTTATTATAGACTTATTATTGTTAATTTTTCTTGTACAATCTGCTCCTCACTCACTGCTCTGTAACTTGTGATGCAACACTGGAATTTCCCCGCTGTGGGACCATCTAAGAATCTCATAATCTCAATATTAGTCTTAATCTTGAACCCCTTAAAATCCCGTGAGTAACACCTTAGTCTAGTCAATATAATAGATCCATGGTCTTGGTCCATGGGGGGGCAGTATCGTCTCGCAGCCCGGGCCCAGGTCCTCGGAGCTGGGGCCGAGAGGAGCACACAGGGGCCCTTTGTGTGCACGGGCCCCCGAAGCCTCTGCAGTCACGCGGTGTCAGCGCGTTCACGGGGAGCAGCGGGGACGCGCACAGAGATTAGACATGTCCAGGACTGTCACGCTGTTTATGCAGAAGTAGGACAGAGGAGAGAGACTGCGAGGGAGACAACTAATGATGATTAATCAATCAATTAATCAACATTAAGATCACGAACGCACAAGGGATTAAAATCATAAATAGTCACAGACATGGTACATTTAAAAGAGTAAAGATACAATCCTTCAGTTGTTGCTGCTGAACTGATTTAACCTGGATTTAAACATTGTCAGAAAAGAAGCCTGTCTTACATTATCAGGAAGACTTTAGTCCAGTGGGGGCGGGTCCCAGCTGAAAAATGGCTAAAATGACGTGCGCTGACATGCTGCAATACCGCCCTGGCCCGATGGGGGTGGACCCGGAATAAGAATTAGCCAATGCTAATGTATAGCATCTTCTTTCCTCTTGAAAACTTTGGACAGGATGGTCCAAAAGTGACTCTTGATCCAAAAGTGGATCTTGGTCCAAAGCTATGTTCCAGATGCTGTCAATTTTGAGGGGAGTCTATTTTTTGGACCAGTCTAGTTTAGCCACTGTGGACTTCAGAATGCACTCGTTAAATGAGTGGGGCTTGTGCCCATTGATGGATGAAAAAATGCGGGGGGTTTTTTCTTCACATTTTCCAGCCCTTGCGGACATTTTGAAACTGCCCATAGACGGCAAAAGTCACATTAGTTTGAACAGCGGAGATAGATGTGACTTCGTCCAGTATTTACAAGCTATACTTTAGCCGCATAAATCTGAAATGCTGACTCTCCGTGTCCAAGTTCTGATTCAGAGTCCCAGCAGGACGATAAACTGTCATGAATCCAGTTATAAAAAGGTTAATGTTTATCTGAATCCAATGATAACTCTTATTGTTACTCTTTTACTGTCTACATGTGGCTGAGAATTCTGTTACATAATCCCTCTGCATAAAAGTGAAAGTAAAGTTTCATGGAAGAAGACCCATAAATTATTGAATCTTGAGGAAACACCTCTAAAAACCCAGTGAGAAAAGTGAGAAACCCCGGACTGAGGCTGTAGATCCAGGACTGAGGCTGTAGATCCAGGACTGAGGCTGTAGACCAGGGGTGTCAAACTCATTTTGGTCCGGGGTCCACATACAACCTAATTGGATCTCAAGTGGGCCGGACCAGAAGATGCTCTACAAAAATACCCAAAAAGTCCAACTTTTTGTGCACATAAACACATTTATTTAAAACTTCCTTTAAAACACTGTCTGTTACAAACTTAAATGTAACAGTGAGTTTTTCATAGTGCAAATAATGTAATGTATTTAGTATATTACATTGTAAATGGTATTTCACAATATTTATATTAAAATGTGTATGTTAGCTTTGTTTTAAGGCTCATTACAGAGAAAACTTGCTCACAAAGGTAAAGTAAAAAAAAACACTTTAACACAGCACCTCAGCTTAACCATCTTCAGTGTGGTAAGGTCCATGGTTATGTTATTATTAGAGAGAAAGCATCAAACTGACCATGATTCAGTTGAAATGAACAAAAAACTCAAATGTCCAAAAATCATCACCTCCATTTGCGGCTTTGTCACTACACCTGCTTTTACCGTCGGTACCAGAGAGCACAGGACCAGCCCACATTGTCCAACAGCACCAGCAACAACAGCAGAACCAGCAGCAGCGCTCAAAACTCCTCTGTGATAGTTTCAGTAACACCACAAATGAATATGCGACATCAGTAACATCAGTCTCTCATCAATGGCAACATGATGTTGGTGACAGCGTGTGGTTTCTCAGACTATGACTGCAGTCTGTATAATAGTTTTAACAAACTCTCTCTGACTGTGCGGCTGTGATGCTAATGCTATGTTGTTAGCACTCAGGTAGCTTGTCTTTACAGAAGCACTAACCTCTTGCTCTGGGCACAAACAGACACTGTTTCTTCAGGGCCAGACATGTTTACCTCAATTCTCCGCTCAAAGTGCAGTATTTTTCACCGAGTCTTGTAGTTTAAGATGTTATTCCTTCAGCACTGCTCTGGTGGGAGCCCCTACAGACGCACTGGACTCACTGCTGAGCGCAGCGCTCTGGCGTTGCGCAGCCTCGCGGCGCGGATTTAAAAATATATATATTATTATTATTTTACATAAATGAGCTGATGATTTTATTGCCACATATGAGAACCTTGACAGGTCTGAGTGACATATAAGGTCCTACAACAAACACATCAGGTCTGAGTGACAAATAAGGACCTACAAAAACACATCAGGTCTGAGTGACATATTAAGACTTTTAACACACAAATAAGGTCTGAGTGAGATATTAGGACCTACAACACACACATCAGGTCTGAGTGAGATATTAGGGCCTACAACACACACATCAGGTCTGAGTGAGATATTAGGGCCTACAACACACACATCAGGTCTGAGTGATATATTAGGACCTACAGTACAACATATGGGTGTCATTTTTGACACCTCACTTTAATATTCGTTTTGGATGTTTAAAATCCTAATTTAAACATTATTTTCCTACTGGAGTTAAGAACATTTTTCAGGGAGATAATCTACTGACACAAGGCAAATATGCAAGCTCCACTCCAAAAGGCCCCTTTTTTTATTTTTTACAAACACTCACTCACAAATGGGGACTTGAAAAAAGTCCCCATATTTCCTCAGGTCCTCATATTGAAGGTATGTTATCATACAAAAGTCCTCATATGTCCACAAAACAAACGCACACACGCGCAAGCGCACGCACAAACACCCACACACACACACGCAAGCACACGCAGCACACACTGTTACGGCGCTTGGCATTACGATATTTGTCGCGGTCTTTTTAGCTGACATGGCTCTTTTGTCCTGTGGCAAAATGGCAGCAACTCAAAAGATTGAGCCAAAAGTCTTCTTCTTTTTCTAATAGTTAGATTGCGGCAAAATGCGGCAAAATGGCTGAGTCAATATTTGTTGTATTTTTTTTCTCATCAAAAAAAGTTTTTGCCGTGCCTCCACACTCTGACAACATTCTCTTCTCCTCCACACAATCTGGCAACATACACTCCTTCTCCTCCTCCTGCTCCACACACTCTGACCACAACCTATAAGCTCCTCCTCCTCCTCCTCCTCCTCCTGCTCTCAACACACTCTGACCACAACAAGGGGTTTTATGTCCAAAATTCACTGCACTCGCAGTGGACGCTAAAGCTGCATAGAGTGTTTGCTAATACTTTTATAATATGTTTCTGATGTGGATATTCGGACTCAACATTGACAATAACAGCGCACACACACCTGTCTTGCTGCTCCTCCTCTTCCTCCTCTGCTCACACACCTCTGTCCCCTCCTCCTCACACAGAAGACGCAAGTATCCATCTCTCCGTTCACTGGGCTCATTCCCGTTACTTTCTTCGTTCCTCACTCAGACCCAGACACTGCTAAAGTTATCTGACAGCTCCGTAAAGTTTGTTTCGGAGGACCCGCAGCATACATAGCTGCCCTCGCGCCTGCCTGTTTACAAATCGCTTTTGGTGAAAATTTGACTTTACTTGTATAATAATGTACTTTTGATCCAGAAAAAGGGGTTTAGGGGTCCGAACTTGGAGCGCAGTCCGCCCTTTGGGGACCCTTGAACTAGTGTATTTATTAAAAAATAAATAGGAAGGAAGATTACGAGGCCCCGTGCCCCGGCACAGGTCGCACAGCCCCTCCGACGAGCCTGCACCCGGCATCTTCACGGGAAGATGTATCTTGTTATTGCTACTGAATGAAAAAGTGTTTGGGTTGTATTCTTTTCCTCAACTATATCCTTAATATAAAAGGCCCCTCTGAGGAGATTTTCACGTCTGGCTGGAGAGATGTTGATGTGATGTGTGCAGAAAACTTGAGTTTACATCTACAAAGCTAGTTTTGTCTTTACCCAGTATGATTGCTACTTTACTCAAGCTCCAATAGAAACTTTAGAACACTAAAGATC